ACACTACAACTGATTTATTTGGCACAATTTTTTTCAGTTCAAAGACACATTTCACCCGAAGTTTGCACAAGTTGGTGTGTAGTTTTGAGATTGTGTTTATAGTTGTGAGAAAATGGTGAATTCTTTCATGAATTGAACTGTAAATAAATTATATTATAAATACATATATATTAAAATGTTTAATAATTCATTCAAATTAATTAAACACTCTTAAATAGACTGCAGCAATAATATTTTGTCACACATTATTTTGTTTAGGTCAGAATCGTGGGGCAATCATGATCTCTATTAGAGACGTGATTCTCAGTGTATCCAGAATCGTGCAGCTCTCCTCTGATATGAGTGAAGCACTGGAGCGTTACTAATGTTTCCAGCTGGAGAACACAGTGTTGTGTTATGATCCGTAAAGACAAACGCAGCCAAACACTCGTACAAATAAAGGCTTTTCAGTGGCATCCGTGGAACTACTAAAGATTCTTTAAAGTGGAAAAAGATTCTTTGGATTTTAAAATGTTCTTCATACTGAGAAATAAATGTTTTTTTTAAGAACTGATAACTGAAATTAAGATTATTTATTAAATAATAAACAGGATTTTAATTATAAATAATTATATTATTTTTATATTACATGGAAGTTTGTTTCTGCCATCGGATAAAAAAAATTTGACTTTTTTTTCTCACATCAGCCTTTTTTTTCTTCTTGCAATTCTGAGAATTTTTGAGAACTGCAAGAAAAAAATTATAAAATGCTGGTTATAAATTCGAAATTGTATGAAAAAAAAAGTCCAAATTGTGAGACATAAAATCAGAATTGTGAGAACAAAGTTTGAATTATTAGATATAAACTCATAATAAACAGGATTTTAATTATAAATAATTATATTATTTTTATATTACATGGAAGTTTGTTTCTGCCATCGGATAAAAAAAATTTGACTTTTTTTTCTCACATCAGCCTTTTTTTGTGAATGTTTGAGAACTGCAAGAAAAAAATTATAAAATGCTGGTTATAAATTCGAAATTGTATGAAAAAAAAAGTCCTGAGACATAAATTGTGAGACATAAAATCAGAATTGTGAGAACAAAGTTTGAATTAGATATAAACTCTTTATATATCTTAAAAAATATATTTAAATTTTTTTATTCAGTGGCAGAAAAGTTTCCATCAAATACAATATACAGTATATATATATATACATATATATATACTTTTTTAAAAGTCTCTTTAAAAAAGATTTGTGATATATAAGCTTAGAATTGTGAAATTAAAAAATCACAATTACCTTTTTCATTTTTTTATTTGATTTGGTGGAAACAAAAAAAATTGCAAGATATAAACTCTTATAAGAATATAAAAGCTTATAAGTACTAAGCAATTATACCTTAGATGGTGGATATTCTGACAAATCATCATTTGAGCTCTGTTTGCTTGAAATGCTTTTCTGCAGTTATTTTGGCTCGCTCTCTGTTTGTCTCACAAATGAAGTTTGCTGCTCTGTGAATGTATTTGCTGGAGTTTGTGTGGCAGTAATGCAGAGGTTTTTCTGCTTTCATCCGGTGGCCTCATGCAGCTCCTGATCGCCGGCCAGAAATGTGTTTGCTGTTATCCAGCCATCAGCTTCATTTGCTCCGTGTCATTATATGAAATCTGAAAATGAATTATAATAGCTGATCTCAGTCCAGCAGCGGCTCGTTCCCACATTCATTAAAGCGCTTTCTATCCTCTAATGTTCATCTGATACGAGTGTCTACGTCATTCTGCACTTAATTCTACACTCTTAAAAATAAAGGTGCTTCACAGCGATGCCATAGAAGAGACATTTTTGAAGCATTCAGTCAAAGAACATCTCTTTCTTACCTTTGTATAATCTGAAGAACCTTCTTTCGCCACAAAAAAACACCTTTAGTGAAACAGAAAGGTTAAAGGTTCTCTATGGAAGCATTTAGACAAAAAAGGTTATTCTATGGCATCGTGAAGCACCTTTATGTTTAAGAGTGTATCATTTCTATCATTGAATTGTGATCATGTGATCTAAACATTGTGTAGAAATCTTTAAAACCAGGTATCAATACAGTGTTTACGTGCAGATCTTTTGACATTCATGTGTGTGTGTTTCTGGACAGTTTGTGAATGAATCCTACATATATTCAGTTTCAGTGCGAACATATACTGAAAAGACAGTTGGGCAATGATTAGTTTGCAGGTCAGTTAAGTCTTGTGTCTTGTGGAAGGTCAGACCATTGACATTACCTGAGAAGCTAAAGTAAATAGACTAGAAAACATACGAGCACAGTTCAGCTTTAACTTGATGTTGTTCTGCTGTTTTTACAGTACATTGACTATCACTGTATATAGACTAACACAATCACACACAGCAATACATAATACAATCACAGTTTCGAGCCAGATTTGTGTTTCTGTGTGTGAAATACAGCTGGCTGGAAACACAGCTTCATTAAGTTGGTTGTTAAGGTGTTGCTGATTTTCTGAGTGGTTGGTTGCTGGGATATTATTGATAGATTATGGATTTGGAAAGAACAGGGATTTACATGTGTGTACAGTCAGTGTTGGGAAGTAACTAGTTACGTAATCAGATTACTTTTTTCAAGTAACTAGTAAAGTAACGCATTACTTTTTAATTTACAAGAGAATATCGGAGTTACTTTTTCAAATAATTGATTGACAGCTCTGGTGTTGCCATGGTGACAGAAATCAGAAGATGTTACAGTAGTTCTAAAATAAATATGAATATGCATTAATTCATCTCACT